TCCTCGATAAGACATCAAGGAAGTTCCAGACTAGAAAGAAGACTTTGTATTGCTTGTAACTTTGTAGAACTTTTGTGTGTAAATCATTGTTAGCAATAACTATTTGTAATAAATGATATTGTAAATTGTATTATTGTTTGTGTATTAAAACATATTTGTATTGAAAAAGGAAAACTGTGTATATCAAACTTGTTCGCAAATATCATAATTGGAGATATATCAGCCTTTATTTAACTACTAAATTTAAATTATCATTTAGCTCGGTTTAAGATTATTCAAAATTTTAATACGTTACATGTTTGACTAATACTATGCTAGAAAAATTATGTAGAACATGTATTATTACACTAGGATGTAAGTCAGTGTTTTATAAACTAAGCTGTTTTCATAATTACTGTATAAGTATATCTTGAAGTTTTGTATGATACACGAAAATCACAAAACACTGATTTGTAACTGATTTTTAAGGGAAAAGATAATTCATGTTAAAGAGTTTAGAAATTCACGTGAGGAAATACCTGTTTTGAAATAGTCGAATAATAATCACTTGATTTATATCTAAAGATCCTTTTACGATTATGATTGTCAACTCTGTTTTAGTTATGTTCATTTGTGAAAAATGTATTTCATGCTTTGGTAAACTAATAAAATGCAGTTTTGAAAGATACAGAAATAGAATTTCTGGCTTATTAGTCAGTCTTGTGGAAACGAAACAATACTTATTTTAGCCTTAGGCAAATACATGACTTACTTTTGTACAAGGGGTCAAGATTTTAAACTCGCTATCAGCTGGGATGTGTCAGAAATATGTTGAAATAGCCCACACCATTTGTATGTGTGTGACACTGGTCATTACGCATCTAGAAATCTACCTCAACTTGAGAATAAACATACAATATTTGAAAATAATATATTTAGTAAAAAAAAGATGATACATGTTACAGTAACATTGTTTTTAAAAAATCTATGTCAGTTTTGAAAAAATAATTTCTGAGTCTCAAAAATCGATGAACAATTATAACATGTGATTGAAAGCTTATTAATATTTAAATAAAAATGAGACTGTTTGTTCTAGACTGATATGTCTGAAATTGTGACCGAACTTATCGGCAATACTCAGAAACAACTAACTCTGTTACCATTCGTTGTATAATGAAATCGTAAATCTCATACACTTCAAATAGATTTAGTATTTAGGTCTAAGTATGTATCATAAATATCAAAACTCTAACTGAATCAATCATAGTAAAGTTATATTTCATTTGAAAAATATTTTAAACTATATTTTTCGACTGACACAATCTGAACTTTTGACCAATTGCTGTATGTCAGGCATTGATTAGAGTATACAAAACATTTTTTGTTCTAGAGTACGGCTAAATATAACAATTGTACACTATTGTTTATAAACTATATAAAATATTGAACTCAAATGAACAAGTAGTAATATGACATAATGTATAAAAGTTGTGTGAAAGCTAATCCGGTATTTTATAAACTAAGATGTTTACATAAATAGTAGTGTATCTTGAAGTTTTGTTAATACGTGTTTCAATAAGGGTGACATCGGTCTTATTTAGAGTTTGTGATTTTACTTACATACATTGACGATAACATATCTATGCGGAATCTTGTATTAGATTGATAAACATATGTGTTATAAACGTGAGTAATCATTTCTTGGAGTCTAATTGAATCGAACGTATAAAAGAATTCTACAATAACTGAAATGTATATGTCCCGTCAAATATTGAGAAATATAATATCGTGAATACACATTTAGTGTTTTGTGTCATTATGTAACGTGAAAGAACCAGTAAGCTATGTTTACTGACTCTTGAAGTCAATGACATTACAAAAGCTTATAATCTCTAGTTAAGCTAAAGTATGGTGAACATTAAATTTGTAATCTAATATTTTTGAATTTGTGTAGAAAATATATGAATATGTAGAGTTTGAACAATTTATTTGCAATATTATGTATGAGATTTATATCTTAATAATGAATGTATAATCATAAATAGCGACTTATACTATATTATAATTGACTTGTTCAACTTTTGTTTCATAAAATTTTATTTTCTGCCATATTGAACTTTGAATTTTTTCAGCCCCTCTCTTCTCAGTAAAAAGTTCGACATATCGTCAGCTGTGAATCAATAAGAGTGAATTGTCCACACCATTTGGCGATTGCATGTGTTGATCTTTCTATTGTTTGCATTCAATGTTAATTACCTCAGGTAGCAGCAGAAAGAACACCCATATGTAGTAGTTTACCTAATATTCAAAATGAGGATACATGCAGAAGGTAAGATGCTCTACAACATTAATCCTTTAAACTTTAGCGATCAACTTATAAAGCTAAACATGAGACTTAAATAAACATCCTTTTCAGGACGAATATATATTATATATCAATTATGGAAATGAAAGCGTTTTACGCATAAAACGTCAGTAAATGCAAAATACAATTAGATATGGAAGCAAAAACTGTAAATAGTACGTTAAACGTATACTAAGTCATAAAAACACAATTATCTGTCTCATTAAATAATTATAAAAACATTAGATGTGATAAAAACATTTCAGCAGTATGTTAAATGTGTTTCTAACACTATCCTCCTATAGTGACAAAGGTAATATATAAATGAAAACTATAAACATAAGCTGAGAAAAGTTAAAATCTGTATGCTGTTCTACGGAAGTATAGTAACACCATTCACTTTTGC